ATATATATATTTCTTTTGATTCTTATTATAACGACTCGTCAGGTCTCACACAATCTATAGCGTCAGGGGAAAGCAACAGCATGTCATTCCCTTACCATACATAAAGCATAAAATAACATATCATAATTTGGCAGTTATATACATACTAAGAAATAACAACTGATGTCCCATGTACATATATATATCTGATAATATAATGTAGTACTCTATCCAAAATGACTGGCGAACTACAACAAAATATTCATAACAAAAGTCTCAGCTCTCCCACTGAATTTCATCAAGGTTCGCTACCCTTCACAACACCTCCTAATCCTGATTTGCTCGTATACAATGTATGGTCACCGTAGTCCCAAATCCACAAGGGAAAAACATGCTAGGGTAAGTTCACAGCAATAATCATCATAAAATAACATTAACATAAAAAGAACAACAATAGAATACGACATTCAGCTTTACATCTTTCAAATTCAAACACAGCACAGTCAACAGTAGATATACATATATACATATATGATCAACTAATGCGTTGTCACGCATATACAACTAAGAGATCTCCAACAACTGAGGTTAAGCAATCTAGGTGGCATAAATCCTACCAATCCAGTGTTTGGCCTATCTTAACCAGGTCAGGTATAGGGCATCGTTAGGAACTCCGAAGAGAACCAAGTATAGACAATAATAGATGATTGCTCAGGTGTGTCACTTAGACTCGGAGGTCCAGTACTACTGTCAAGGTAGAAAGGTTTGGGAATGGGCCTACCACGGCCTTAGCTTACATCACCAATCCACATATGGAATTAGCTCACCCACTGTCCTCCAAGTACCACACACCCTCCAGTACCTAGTCAAAGACTACATCTTTAACTAGATACCTTACTCAAATTGGTCATTCAACCATGACATGAATCGACTACTTCCATGTCGCCCACACAGTACTAAGGGATTCAACTTTAAAACAACTTTCAACTTATCACCTTAGTACTATGTATCTCAACATAGGACATATATCTTCACCATATGTCTTCAACTTTACAACTTTGCAACAATAAGCATCTTAACAACTTTACAACAATAATTATCTTTACAACAATAAGCAACATAATAACATCTTGAATAAACAACTTGAACTACTATGGTCATCAACATCTCAACTTACAACATATAATCAACTTAAGCCAACAACTACTCAACTCATCTTCATCATACAACTTAGCAACTTAACCCAATTCATTGAGCATACTCACGCCCGACGTAACCATCTCGCGCCCGACGTGACCTACAACCCGAGATCTCCAAGGCTCGTCAATACCCGACGCAATCATCTCTCGCCCGGCGTCCTCAAGTCAGAGACTCAAAAGAGTCTTCCACGCCTGGCGCACTAACTCTGCGCCCGACGCACATCAGACAGAGACCTCCAAGGGTCTCCATGCGTGGCGCATCAACCCTACGCCCAACGCCCCCAAGTCAGAGACTCAAAAGAGTCTTCCACGCGCACTAACTCTGCGCTTGGTGCACGTCAAACAGAGACCTCCAAGGGTCTCCACGCTTGGGGCGTCAACCCTACGCCCGATGCCACATTAGTAAAACACCCCACAAGACCACTATCTAATATCGCACCCGGCGTGGTTCTCACACGCCCGGTGTAATCCATCCAGAGAGCTCCCATTGCAAATCGCGCCCGACGCGACTAGCCCCGCGCCCAGCGTGATTTAACAATGGTGATCCCTGATGAAGATACGTCCAGCGCCAAGAACTACGCCCGGCGCAATTTCAAACAACAACTTTCAAAACACAGAATTTTCGTCTAAAAACTTGAAAATTAGAAGAATCCACAATATGCAATCCATACCACATGATATCTAAGTATCAAATAATCTAAAAATGCACACAGATCGTACGTGCACACACCTAGTGCATCAAAATCGTCAAAACCCATTTCAAAGAAAACTAGAAAATGGAGTTTCCCTAACCTCGAATCTGCAAACTCCAAGGTTTCGAGCTAGACGAAAGCTTCGGGGAAGGACTCCAAGCTACCACTAAAAGAACAAGGAAGGAGAATGAGCTTCGACTCTACAACTCTAGCTCGACCACATCCGAGGAAGAAAAGCTTGCGGAGAAGGAGAGAAACCAGAGAAAGTGTTCCAACCCTTGAGGAAATGCTGAAAATGAAAGAAGCTCGAGTCTTACACTTATTATAAGGTATAATTTAGAAGAAAAAAAATTATGACCCTTTATACAAGGCATTTTACAATTTCTACAAAATAATTTTATTTTTCATCTTTTGTTCCCTATTAAAGATTCTAAGAATATGTACTTCTTATTGTTATATAATGAAAAAATAATTTGATAAATAAATATTCTTACTCTCAACTCTTAAACTTTGTAATTATTATTTATCAATTTTATTAGTATTGTTGCATAAATTTTAATATAAATATAAAATAATATTTTCATGTTTCTCATAAAATGATAAATAAGAAGAATAAAATTAGTATAACACGATTTTATTTTATAAACTCAATAAAATTAACTAAAATAATTACTTATATTTAATTGATGTAATTTAGTTTAAAATGAATTATAATATAACTATTTATACATGAGGATCACATAGCATGTAATCTTAACTTGTTTATTGACAAGTTGGTGATGAGCAAACCTGTCACTGTAGTCAATAAATGTTTATTACTAAATAATTACTTATATTTCATTGGTCAATAAATAATTAGTAGATAATTATTTTTTACACCAATCAAAAAATAATTATTAAGAAAAAGATTTTATTATATTTGAGTGATCAATAATATAATATTTGTTCAACATTTTTTTACTTGTTATTTATTAATTAATAAATTTCATTAAGTGATTGTTATACGAATGGATTGTTAAAAAATTATAAAAGGGACTATAGAAAATAGAGGAGATTTAATCATCCTTCATTTTCTAATAATTATTTCGCATTGATATCACTCTCGTTTTGACTGAGTTTATCACTCTCTTAGACTGGTTAAAATAATATTCGGTAGACATGTTGGATTTAGATAGACCATAATACATAATTTCTATTATATGTTTGATACATTTTAAAAGTAGAGATTGTGGATTAAAAATTGTACATTCCATCTTAGAACTTTAACGAGAATTATAACTTAAGGAGAATAAAATATAATAAGATGCTACATTTTGCCGTGTACAAGTGTCAGGTTATGTTTGGGTGAGGACTTTCAAATTTTAAGAAATTCAAAATTT